AAGAATACAAAATGAAAATGCACAGATACAAAATGTAAATGCATGTATGAAAAGGTGTTACTCAAGAGTAATCATCTTAGAATAGATTTCATTGAACACAAAAGTTTCGGAACATCAAACAAAACTTTTACATATAAGGACAAATTTTACTCCTAACTTCTCTATTTCCCTTAAAAGCCAAACTAACTTCCACTTATACTCAGGTGTGGAGTTATCAATCTGCCTTAACTCTCTCGTGAAACCAGCTAAGTCCACCAGCTTATGAGCCACATTGTTTGCTTGAGCAGCGGCTTCCTTCATGATATTGTCTTTTTCCTTCATCTTTTGCATTAACTCTCGAAGTTGTAAACAATATTGTTCATTTTTTCTTGTGAGAGAATCTTTATGTTCAAGAAGTTCTCGTACAAGATCTCCATAATCATCTACACATTTCTTCAATGTTTTGTTCTTGGCCATAGTGGCTTTTAATTCAGTATCGATCTCAAGCTGATGAATCTGATATGATGTTCCTTGTTGGTCATATCACTATTCAACCTTTGATTTTCGACTTGACATCTTTTCAATTCACTAACAGACGTATTGCATCTTACTTCTGCAACTAGTGAATTATGATAAAACTTCTTGGCTCGTCCTTCATGTATGTTACAGTTCTTTTTCAGTTTGGTGACCCCTGTTATCCACTCTTCTGGGGTGTTCCCTATACATTCATTTTGAAAGGCTTGACTGACCTTCTGGAAATCTTCCTATATGCTTTCCATTTCGGTGCTCAATTTACCGTTTTGATCATTCAAATGACATATTTGGGCTTTAAATCTCAACAAATATTCTTCATTCTGGACGTCCTTACTGATGCTATTACCTTTGAATACATTTGGTGTTGATCTAGAAGGATCTTCAATTACCAAACTAGGTTGATCATTTATCATAAACTGCAAGATTCCCTGATCCAAAAGACTTTGGACTTGACGTTTGAAGGCAAGACAATTCTAAATGGTATGTCCTTGAGCTCCGGCATGATATTTACAATAAACGTTGATGTTATACCAATTCGGATACGGAGGTTGGAGCGGTTTTATGTAATATGGAGCTACTTCTCGTGCTTCAAGTAACTTTTCATACAATTTTTATATGATATAGGGATAGAATCAAAATGAGAACCACCTTTTGTCTTGGATTGAACTTGAGTTTTAGACATCGGGAGCAGACTAAACTTCAATGATTTCAGGTTATATGATTTCTTCTCATCTCTGGGAGCTTTTACAGTTGTCACCATTTCCTGAATATCTCCAGACAACTTGTGAATACAAATAATGATTGTCTGCAACTTCTCAAATTGGTTAGGATCATAAGTCCCTTGCATATCTGAAATTGCAGGATTATCTTCATTAAGCTTTCTCTCTTTCTGTGCAAGAATCTCTTCTCCTTTGGCCAAAACAGATATTCTATCTATTATCTTGGACATCTGCTCTCTTATTTCTCGTATCTCCTTTTGCTCTTCAATGGGCATACGATCTTTGTGTGCATAGCTCTCCTCTATCTTCAGAGTTCCCTCAGGATGTCTTTTCTTGGCCGCATCATATTTTGTTTGATCATAAAACTTTTTGTCCATTTACAATTTCTTTCCAATATGATGAACAGTCTTTCAAATAAACACCTTTTGGTTATGCCATGATCATGCAATGTAAACAAAAGAAATCAATATGAACAGATTAGAGCAATGTAACATTCATGAAAAAAAATAAGAAAAAATAGAATAGTTAGTACCAACTAATGCAAAAACAATCTATCTATCAAGGTATAAATCTTAACCTCATGTTTCAAGCACCTTCAAAGAAGGATGGTGGTTGATTAACTCGGCAGTAAGAAGCTACACTTCGACCAACTCGACAGATTGAAAGTTTCTCTCGAAATAACACATTTTGCTCGAGAGCCAATTTCAACTTCACAACGAAGGATATTGGACTCCAGACAACGCAAGTTCAACTTCACAACGAAGGGACCGCTGGTTGTCAATAAACAATTTCCCAATTTCAGAGCCAATTTAAACTTCACAGCGAAGGATATTGGACTCAAGACAACGCAAGTTCAACTTCACGACGAAGGCACCGCTGGTTGTCAAAAAACAACTTCCCAATTTCAGAGCCAATTTCAACTTCACAGCGAAGGATATTGGACTCCAGACAACGCAAGTTCAACTTCACGACGAAGGGACCGCTGGTTGTCAACAAATAATTTCCCAATTTCAGAGCCAATTTCAACTTCACTGCGAAGGATATTGGACTCCAGACAACGCAAGTTCAACTTCACGACGAAGGGACCGCTAGTTGTCAACAAACAACTTCTCAATTTCAGAGCCAATTTCAACTTCACAGCGAAGGATATTGGACTCAAGACAACGCAAGTTCAACTTCACGACGAAGGGACCGCTGGTTGTCAAAAAAACAACTTCCCAATTTCAGAGCCAATTTCAACTTCATAGCGAAGGATATTGGACTCCAGACAACCAAGTTCAACTTCACGACGAAGGGACCGCTGGTTGTCAACAAATAATTTCCCAATTTCATAGCCAATTTCAACTTCACAGCGAAGGATATTGGACTCCAGACAACGCAAGTTCAACTTCATGACGAAGGGACCGCTGGTTGTTAACAAACAATTTCCCAATTTCAGAGCCAATTTCAACTTCACAGCGAAGGATATTGGACTCCAGACAATGCAAGTTCAACTTCACGACGAAGGGACCGCTGGTTGTCAATAAACAACTTCTCAATTTCAGAGCCAATTTTAACTTCACAGCGAAGGATGTTGGACTCAAGACAACGCAAGTTCAACTTCACGACGAAGGGACCGCTGGTTGTCAAAAAAACAACTACCCAATTTCAGAGCCAATTTCAACTTCACAGCGAAGGATATTGTACTCCAGACAACGCAAGTTCAACTTCACGACGAAGGGACCGCTGGTTGTCAATAAACAATTTCCCAATTTCAACTTCACAACGAAGGATATTAGACTCGAGACAGCACAAGTTCAAGTTCACAAACAAAGGGACCGCTGGTTGTCAAAAACAACTTTCCAATTTCAGAGCCAATTTCAACTTCACAACGAAGGATATTGGACTCGAGACAACACAAGTTCAACTTCACAACGAAGGGACGACTGGTTGTCAACAAATAATTTCCCAATTCCAGAGCCAATTTCAACTTCACGGTGGAGGATATTGGACTTGGAACAATAAAACTTACTTGGATTTCAACTTCACGACGAAGGATATCCAATTACAGGCTCAACTTCACGACGAAGGGGCCACCTGCGATTTTAACTGCACAACGAAGGGAATCGTGCACAAAAACAACATCCATTTTTAGATTGGATTTCAACTTCACGAAGAAGGATAGTCAATTCAAAGAAGGAGTGTCTGCCAATAAACTTTCCAGTTTCAGAGTCAATTTCAACTTCACGGCAAAGAATATTGGCCTCAAAACAACGCAACTTGCATTGGATTTCAAACTTCACGACGAAGGGGCCATATGTCATACTCAACTTCAACACGAGGGTATCATACCCTAACAGATTGACCCAACTTCACGAAGAATGAGTCATCTATAGCACTACAACACCAAATTCTTCAGGTCAAGTTTCACCTTCACGGCGAAGTATCTTGAGCCAGAAGACGATTCAGAGGCCACTCACCAAAAGACCTTCGAGTTCGATTATACTCAGCTCAAAGGCACCATCATTTGCAGCATAGCTTAAGTCGAGAAGGGCTATCTGCCAACCAAAGACCTTCGAGTTCGATTACATTCAACTCAGAGGCAAATCGAATTTACAGCATAACTCATGGCGAGAAGGGCTATCTGTCAACAAAAACTGACGAGTTTGATTTCATTCAGCTCGATAACAGTGAGGAACTACTTTCTGGAAGAATTTTCAAGCCGAAATCTTTAAACCGAGAAGAAGACAAAGACCTAATTCCAGGAAGCCCAATCACATTTGAGAGGATCGAACAAAAACTTGTTGTCTTTTTAGTCTTTGCCCTATCCTTGTTAACACAAGAATGTGAAAAGAGGGGCAGCTGTAGACACCCGTTTTTGTCCGGGTTTTAAAAAGATATGTATTTATTATTATTATTATTATTATTAATATTTTAATTTTTTTCAGGCCCGTGTGTAACAACCCCCACTATCCCATTAACCCCATTATCGCCACTCTCGCACGTCTCTTCAACAATTTTATTAATTTTCTCTCAAACATGAGAGTGAGAATCTTTATCAGGGGCCTGCCTATTTATTTAAGGGAACTTTAGATTGGAGGCACAAGGAGAAAATGGCTCGATAGGCGTAAAAACCCAACTGAAAAGCAAGCAATAGATAGAGACAAAGGGGAAGCAACCAAGTCGCTGTCTCTCTTTTGACCAACCTCGCACGCGTCGCTTCCGGTCTCAGTGCGGCCGCCAGTATCCTTGGCGCTTGCACGTACACCGTTGATGGTGGTCAAAGAGCTGTTGGAAGGGAGGTCTTGAAGGACGTGGTTGCATAGTTCAATGCAGATCAGCTTCTCACCGAGAGTCCCCAAGGTCAAGACCACGAGCACATGCTGAAGCAAAAGATGTTGGTGCTTGAAGGGAAGGACTGTATCATTTTCTGGGCAGCTTGGGTCTTCAACTGCAGAGTGGAATAGCGTCGAAATTGTTTGTTTGTGTGTTCTCATATTCTTCATAACGGATTGTTTGTTCAATTTCGTTAATTGTTTGCATATATCATTTTTGAGGATGGTGAAAATCCCATATTCCTTGCTCCGGCTCATCACTCGAAGTTGCCCACCAAGTGTTATAAACGGGGGTCACTGTTATGGTCGAGGTCAATGGAAGCGACGGGACCAATAACAAAGCAACAATGCAAATATTGAATCTGTTACGCCTGCTGGTAGTCATTCTGATGAACTTGAATCCCACTGTGTTGCTGCCCCGAAGATTAATTCATCAGGGAACTCCGAGAATTGGATGGTGTTATCGGTTGCCGTGGAAGCACCTGTGCCACGCTTTAATCATGAATCTACCGTTGTTGGGAACAAGATGATCGTGGTTGGTGGTGGATTTGTGAACGAAATTTTAGATGATGTGCAGGTTCTTAATTTCAATTCTTTTTCTTGGACCATAGCATCATCAAAGCTTTACTTGTCACCTAGTAATCTTCCACTTAAAATTCCTTCATGCAAAGGCCACGTTTTGGTTTCATGGGGAAAGAAAACCCTCTTGATTGGAGACCAAGCTGACACTGTAAATGAAAAACTTTCAACATATTTTTTTATTTTTTAACATCGTTTTTTAATTTTTATTATTATTTTTTTTATTTATTTTTTAGTTGATATTTTTTTTATTTACCATCTAACATTTTTTATTTTCCAGTTGTAATTTCAACCAATCAAAGGTAATTATCTGAATCGATGTTTTAAATTTTAATTTTAATTTTTAATTTTCGCAATCAAAGACAACCGACAAATTAATTGGTACCGAAAGGGCAGTTCAAGGGTGTTAATCCTTCCTTAACCGTAACCGACTCCCGAACCCGACACGTTTCTGGCAAGACGCAGATCAGGTAAGATGGTGTCCGACCCACCTAAATTTGTTTCAAAGTGGTCGGTGGCGACTCCTAATCATTTAACCCAAGTCGAAGCCCAATTCCGGGGCCCAACCGAAAGACGGTTGCGACAGCTTGGCGACTCCATTGGGAACAAGTAAGTGAGTCAGGCCAGAATTAATTTTCGGTTGTCTTTTTATGCGAAAATGGTAAATTTAAATTTAAATTTATTTATTCGATTCCAATTATTTACCTTTGATTATTTTTTTTCCAAATAAATAGTTGTACTGATATTTTTTCAATGATTTTAGATTTTTAAAGTTTTCCATTTAAGGCTCTATACCCGAGCTTCGAACCCTATTTAAGTGAGGGTGAAAGCGACGCCTTCGTGTGAATTTATTTACCGTGCGGGCCTAACAAGTAGCCTTCGAGATTCATATACCTTATGTCTTCGTGTAAATTTATTCACCGTGCGGGCATAAAGGAATGTGTCCCCTCGAGTTTAACTTAGTCCACACGAGCCTGTGATGGGTTTAGGACTAAGGGTCTGGTAAGTCCAAGGGGGCACCAACGTGGAGAACTCTGGTACTTTTTTTTAGAACCTAAACCAGGAGAGTGCAGGGAATTAGAGCCCACCCCAAAACCTCATTCTAAACCCTAGGCTATTTTTATTTCCTGCTATATTTTCTGCTCCAAGCATGCGAACTAGACAAATATGCGGTTAGGATTTGTTTGAAATTAGCATGCGGGATAGAAATCATGTCCGGGTAGGAATAATAAGCATGTGGGGTAGATATCATGTGGGGTAGGACTTTTCATTTTCATCATTTTTTTATTATTTTCCTTATCTCACTAACTTGTTTTTCCTCCCTTTCATTTTTTTTCTTTGGCATTTTTCTTATCATTCGCATCATTAAAACGAGGTGTTGATCCACCAAAAATGTGTTTGTTAAACGTAAATAATTTGCATTAACAGACAAAGGGGTTATAATACAAAGAGATAAAAAACTCAGAAGTCCAACCGCGGTCAAAGAATACTCAAAGACAAAGTTGCAGAGGCAAGACGAGGAAAAGGTCACTGACCCAGTCGCTCCTTTCAAAAACTACAAGAACAAGATGGTGAAACCCTAGTTGAGCTGGATGCCATTGCTGATGAATTCAAGAAGCAAGCTTTGGATAGTTTCTCTCGCTCCAATGGCATTTTCGTTAAAACAAGCTCGGCAGATAGTGAAAGCCGGAGATGCAGTCCTTCGAGACCTTTTGGGGGCAAGCAGCTCGTTATTTGCACATTTTAGCCAAAGAAGCCGGAACGGTTTGACAGGGTATTCAACCGGTGACAGACAAAGGCAGAAGACTAGTCAACCTATCAGAAGCTGTTCGGGGTCTATGCCTTCAAAATATTTTTGTCTCTTAAGACGTAACACTTTTGCCCCAATAAGGATTATTTATAATAACAGGTACATTTTTTGGATCAATGCCTCGAACATTTCATGCATCATGCATTCATACATATTGTGCATTTTATTATTTTCTTTACATTCGCATTATTTTTCATTTTTTTTACATTCACATGTCTCATCAAAAATGAGAACATTTTGATTCTATGATATATAAGGAGATTTACCAACAGTTGTTTGACGCACACGTGGTGTCACCATATCCAGAGAAATCCATGTAGCCCCGTACCCCAGGTAGTATGATGAGAACGCTCATTGCGAAAATCATAGTGGAGTCCCAGGGCGCACTATCGAGAATTACTCCACAATCAAGAGAATCATACATAAAATACGTAACAAGAATCGGATCGACTTCAACAACATGGGGGCATCCAAGTGAGGAAGACCATTTCGTCATTTGAGACATTTTGTTTAAATTTGTTTTTTATTTTTTTCTCAAGTTTTTGTAAGGACTTTTAAATAAATTTATGTTACTTTAAAGATGTTAAACAATGAATCACATTTGCAAACTTGCAATTCTTTGAATATCATCTGAATTAAGAAACTCTGAAATGGTTCAAAGTTACATATCTTTGACGAAGTAACATGATTTAAAACAAGGAATTTGACTTTACCCAGAATATACACTCAAACACCGTACCCTGCTCTTGTAATTAACCAATATAACATTTTCCTTTCATAAGGTGCGGACAACATGGGGCATCCTTCTGCATATGACATTATTATACTTTTTATTTAAAACGTTCAGTGATGATAATGATCTTCACAGATGGAATAGTCGAGTAAGTGAATCTAGTTTAGGTTAGTTGCTTGAAAATTGAACTCTAAAGATGAAATTTTTTACTTTCAACAAACTCCTAGACTATAACAGGTTCTTCTTGACAATCTTAAGAAATTTAATCTGTAAAACTGAGCTATTCCACTAAGGCAATTGGTTATAGAGGAAACTCGAAAGCCCTGGCTTTATGAATAGATGTCATTTAAACCATGACATTGCTCGGACACTTGGCAATTCGGTGTTTGCTCCACTGCTTTTGTCAGGCCAAAGACTTTGTGATGAGATGAACCCTTCAGTTAACTTGATAAAAATGATTATAATGATAAGTTGTCCCTCTAAATCAATTGGTTAAACGCCCCGGCTTTATGGATTCAGCTAGCCAGATAACGGTAAATTAAATCGAATTTATCTAAGTGTAAAGTTTCGGTAAAATGGACTAAGGGAATTAAGGAACACCTGTTATAGTCAATTTCACACGAGCACTCAAGAATTTCATTTTTAGACCGATATTTTTGCACTCCCTTTGTTAGAGGAGCCTACAAAGCTTGAACAAATGGAATATTTCAGAGGACCGAAATAAAAGGTCTAGTAATTGATCATGCTAGTTGTCATTTTGTCCGCACCCAATTGAAATACCAAAGCATGTTGCGATATTTAAAAAAATGACATTTTGGGTTACCAAAACCTTAGAAATAAGGCCAACCTAAGGCCAACTCATCCATTTGAACATTTTTCAAAGAGTTGTGACTCTAAAAGCATTAAAAAAGCTCTTGATTCCTTTGATATTCTTTGAACTCACGTTTACAATTTGAGTCAATTGCCAACAATATTTTACAACATTTTTTCTCCTAAAACAAGAAAAAAGATAAAAACATTTTTCAAACAGAGTAGTCTCAGATTTGAAAGGTCTGTAAAGCCAAAGCTCGAGAAGATGGTGGGGCACGATCGATTCTAAGGACCTGATTGACAGACAAAGCACGAGACTCCATCCAGAAGATAACACATAATTCATTCATATTGCATGCATCTTAGGTGCATCACATTCATCATTTTAGCATACACGTTTTTGCAGCTTTTAGAGTCAAGTTTTGACTTCAGGATGAAGGATACTCGATTCTCAAGAGCCTTCAAAGAAGGATGGTGGTTGATTAACTCGGCAGTAAGAAGCTACACTTCGACCAACTCGACAGATTGAAAGTTTCTCTCGAAACAACACATTTTGCTCGAGAGCCAATTTCAACTTCACAACGAAGGATATTGGACTCCAGACAACGCAAGTTCAACTTCACGACGAAGGGACCGCTGGTTGTCAATAAATAATTTCCCAATTTCAAAGCCAATTTCAACTTCACAGCGAATGATATTGGACTCAAGACAACGCAAGTTCAACTTCACGACGAAGGGACCGCTGGTTGTCAAAAAACAACTTCACAATTTCAGAGCCAATTTCAACTTCACAGCGAAGGATATTGGACTCCAGACAACGCAAGTTCAACTTCACGACGAAGGGACCGCTGGTTGTCAACAAATAATTTCCCAATTTCAGAGCCAATTTCAACTTCACAGCGAAGGATATTGGACTCCAGACAACGCAAGTTCAACTTCACGACGAAGGGACCGCTGGTTGTCAACAAACAACTTCTTAATTTTAGAGCCAATTTCAACTTCACATCGAAGGATATTGGACTCAAGACAACGCAAGTTCAACTTCACGACGAAGGGACCGCTGGTTGTCAAAAAAACAACTTCCCAATTTCAGAGCCAATTTCAACTTCACATCGAAGGATATTGGACTCAAGACAACGCAAGTTCAACTTCACGACGAAGGGACCGCTGGTTGTCAACAAACAATTTCCCAATTTCAGAGACAATTTCAACTTCACAGCGAAGGATATTGGACTCCAGACAACGCAAGTTCAACTTCACGACGAAGGGACCGCTGGTTGTCAACAAACAATTTCCCAATTTCAGAGCCAATTTCAACTTCACAGCGAAGGATATTGGACTCCAGACAACGCAAGTTCAACTTCACGACGAAGGGACCGCTGGTTGTCACAAACAACTTCTCAATTTCAGAGCCAATTTCAACTTCACAGCGAAGGATGTTGGACTCAAGACAACGCAAGTTCAACTTCATGACGAAGGGACCGCTGGTTGTCAAAAAAACAACTTCCCAATTTCAGAGCCAATTTCAACTTCACAGCGAAGGATATTGGACTCCAGACAATGCAAGTTCAACTTCACGATGAAGGGACCGCTGGTTGTCAACAAACAATTTCCCAATTTCAGAGCCAATTTCAACTTCACAGCGAAGGATATTGGACTCCACACAACGCAAGTTCAACTTCACGACGAAGGGACCACTGGTTGTCAACAAACAACTTCTCAATTTCAGAGCCAATTTCAACTTCACAGCGAAGGATATTGGACTCCAACAACGCAAGTTCAACTTCACGATGAAGGGACCGCTGGTTGTCAATAAACAATTTCCCAATTTCAGAGCCAATTTCAACTTCACAGCGAAGGATATTAGACTTGAGACAACTCAAGTTCAACTTCACAAATGAAGGGACGGCTGGTTGTCAACAAACAACTTCCCAATTTCAGAGCCAATTTCAACTTCACAGCGAAGTATATTGGACTCGAGACAACACAAGTTGAACTTCACAACGAAGGGACGGCTGGTTGTCAACAAACAATTTCCCAGTTCTAGAGCCAATTTCAACTTCACGGTGGAGGATATTGGACTTGGAACAATACAACTTACTTGGATTTCAACTTCACGACGAAGGATATCCAATTACAGGCTCAACTTCACGACGAAGGGGCCACCCGCGATTTCAACTGAACGACGAAGGGAATCGTGCACAAAAGCAACATCTATTTTTAGATTGGATTTCAACTTCACGACGAAGGATAGTCAATTCAAAGAAGGAGTGTCTGCCAATAAACTTTCTAGTTTTAGAGTTAATTTCAACTTCACAGCAAAGAATATTGGCCTCAAAACAACGCAACTTGCATTGGATTTCAAACTTCACGACGAAGGGGCCATATGTCATATACAACTTCACAACGAAGGGTATCATACCCTAACAGATTGACCCAACTTCACGAAGAATTAGTCATCTATAGCACTACAACACCAAATTCTTCAGGTCAAGTTTCACCTTCACGGCGAAGTATCTTGAGCCAGAAGACGATTCAGAGGCCACTCACCAAAAGACCTTCGAGTTCGATTACACTCATCTCAAAGGCACCATCATTTGCAGCATAGCTTAAGTCGAGAAGGGCTATCTGCCAACCAAAGACCTTCGAGTTCGATTACATTCAACTCAGAGGCAAATCGAATTTACAGCATAACTCAAGGCGAGAAGGGCTATCTGTCAACAAAAACTGACGAGTTTGATTTCATTCAGTTCGATAACAGTGAGGAACTACTTTCTGTAAGAATTTTCAAGCCGAAATCTTTAAACTGAGAAGAAGACAAAGACCCAATTCTAGGAAGCCCAATCACATTTGAGAGGATCGAACAAAAACTTGTTGTCTTTTTAGTCTTTGCCCTATCCTTGTTAACACAAGAATGTGCAAAGAGGGGCAGCTTTAGACACCCATTTTTGTCTGGGTTTTAAAAAGATATGTATTTATTATTATTATTATTATTAATATTTTAATTTTTTTTCAGGCCCGTGTGTAACAACCCCCACTATCCCATTAACCCCATTATCACCACTCTCGCACGTCTCTTCAACAATTTTCTTAATTTTCTCTCAAACATGAGAGTGAGAATCTTTATCAGGGGGCCTGCCTATTTATTTAAGGGAACTTTAGATTGGAGGCACAGGGAGAAAATGGCTCGATAGGCGTAAAAACCTAGCTGAAAAGCAAGCAATAGATAGAGACAAAGGGGAAGCAACCAAGTCGCTGTCTCTCTTTTGACCAACCTCGCACGCGTCGCTTCCGGTCTCGGTGCGGCCGCCAGTATCCTTGGCGCTTCCACGTACACCGTTGATGGTGGTCAAAGAGCTGTTGGAAGGGAGGTCTTGAAGGATGTGGTTGCACAGTTCAATGCAGATCAGCTTCTCACCGAGAGTCCCCAAGGTCAAGACCACGAGCACATGCTGAAGCAAAAGATGTTGGTGCTTGAAGGGAAGGACTGTATCATTTTCTGGGCAGCTTGGGTCTTCAACTGCAGAGTGGAATAGCGTCGAAATTGTTTGTTTGTGTTGTTCTCATATTCTTCATTACGGATCGTTTGTTCAGTTTCGTTAATTGTTTGCATATATCATTTTAAGGATGGTGAAAATCCCATATTCCTTGCTCCGGCTCATCACTCGAAGTTGCCCACCAAGTGTTATAAACGGGGGTCACCGTTATGGTCGAGGTCGATGGAAGCGACGGGAGCAATAACAAAGCAACAATGCAAATATTGAATCTGCTACGCCTGCTGGTAGTCATTCTGATGAACTTGAATCCCACTATGTTGCTGCCCCGGAGATTAATTCATCAGGGAACTCCGAGAATTGGATGGTGTTGTCAGTTGCCGTGGAAGCACCTGTGCCACGCTTTAATCATGCATCTACCGTTGTTGGGAACAAGATGATCGTGGTTGGTGGTGGATTTGTGAACGAAATTTTAGATGATGTGCAGGTTCTTAATTTCAATACTTTTTCTTGGACCATGGCATCATCAAAGCTTTACTTGTCACCTAGTAATCTTCCACTTAAAATTCCTTCATGCAAAGGCCACGTTCTAGTTTCATGGGGAAAGAAAACCCTCTTGGTTGGAGCCCAAGCTGACACTGTAAATGAAAAACTTTCAACATATTTTTTATTTTTTAACATCCTTTTTTATTTTTTATTTTTTATTATCATTTATTTATTTTTTAGTTGATATATTTTTTATTTACCATCTAACATTTTTTATTTTCCAGTAGTAATTTCAACCAATCAAAGGTAATTATCTGAATCGATGTTTTAAATTTTAATTTTAATTTTTAATTTTCGCAATCAAAGACAACCGACAAATTAATTGGTACCGAAAGGGCAGTTCAAGGGTGCTAATCCTTCCTTGACCGTAACCGACTCCCGAACCCGGCACGTTTCTGGCAAGACGCAGATCAGGTAAGATGGTGTCCGACCCACCTAAATTCGTTTCAAAGTGGTCGGTGGCGACTCCTAATCATTTAACCCAAGTCGAAGCCCAATTTTGGGGCCCAACCGAAAGACGGTTGCGACAAATCTATAAAATAATATTATAATATTAACAAATCATTTAAACATATAAAAACTAAAACAACAAAATCAAAATAAAAACAACTAAAACATAAATATTTTAAAATATAAAAAAATATATAAATTCACCTAAGTGAATATTAAAATATATTTTAACCTTAAATTCTCCCCCCACACAAATCTTTTTTCTCAACAAAATACAATAAAAATTTATACAACACTACGTTTATTTATATTAACCATAATTTTTTTTAACCCCAATGGTCAAAATTTGATGCTACAACGGTCATATATGTTAGATCTCGTCATGTCAAAATGATAACTTTCAATTAAAAAAATTATATGTCAATGGATAAATGCCAACAACTTTTTTTTCCTAATCAAATGGCCATATTCGAAAGAACTCGTCATGTTAGAATTACAAGTTCCTTCAATTTTTTTTAAAATAAATTATAATAAAATATTAATAATGATAAAAAGATTATTTAAAATTAATCAGATGGAACTCATCAAATTAACATAACAAAGTTACTTAAAAAACCATTAAAAAATGGGTCATGAAGCCCACTTGATTTAGGTTAAATAAAAAATAATATCTTAAAGAACTCATTAAGAGGTCATGACGATTTACAGTTACATTGTAGCAATCATCATAGGACCAAAATAATTTCCTAGATGCTTTATAAGCCCAATTATTTTTCGCGCCAATAATATTGGGCTAATTTTGACTTAGTTATTTAGCATTCTTTCTAATTCAAGAAGATTCAGGACACATAATAGAACGACCTTACCTACATCTATGATGTTGAGTCACCCTTTATTTTCATTAATGGGATTTTGGTTCGCGAAAAAGATCATTATCAAGGGGGAAAATCTTTTCTGAAATTATATTCAACGTTTGGTTTATAACAAAATATCATCAACTAATAACTTATTATCAATAGTAACATTTTTTTTTATTAAAATGGTGATAATGTCATTACCTCCAAATTCTTAGACAATAAAAAATTCTCGCCACTTTGGACAACAATACCCGTAGAATAATGAATCCTTTTTATATGGAATTTTCTCAATTCTTATTCTTCGTACTTTACTCAAAATTATTAACATAATAATAATATGCAAAAAAATTTGATTTAATAAAATATTAATAAATTTGAGTAGTTAAAATAAGTTTATATTTTTAATATGTAATATATTAATCATTTTATAATGTTATGAGGTGTAAAATAATATTATTGTTAAAAATATATTTTTTCATTAAAAACAATATTTTTATTCATTTGAGTTCACAACATTATTTTTCATATTATATTATATTTTATATAAATAAATATGATAATTATGAAAATCATTTAAAAATATAAGTTTGATATACTAATTATATTAATTATATATTAAATATTTTTTTAAAAAGTTAGATAGTGTAACAATTAAAATATTTTTATGAATTTTCATTCAAGTATTTATAATTTAATGTTTAAGTTTAAATTCTTAAAAAATATATCACAAGGATAATTTAATAAAATATACATCCAAATTCTTCTAACCAAACATTGTAATATTATATTCCTACTAAAAATCAAACAACATAATATAACATTTCTAAAATAATATCATATTCTACTAATCTTATTCAAAAATATAATTTTACATTTCGTCAACCAAACGAATTCTAAAACTAATATAAAACACCTAAGAATAAAGGACTGCTCGGCCATAAGCTGAGACCTTAACTAAATGACGTCACCTCTAAGTGCCATGATTGTTCCTTCTAAACATGCCATGTCTCTTGGGTGGCGTTTGGTTGGATGCATTCCCTTGGAATTGGTGGAAATTGGAATCCAATTCCACCACTTTCTCATGGTTGATTCAAGTTTTTCAAGGGAAATGGAATCTCTATGGAATTCAATTCCATCAAATGAGGGGAAGTGAATTTCATCAAAAATGGATGGAATTCAATTCCCTTGTTGGAGGGAATTGAAATTTAACCATACTACTCTCATTAATCCTTTGGTAACTTATTTATATATTGAATAAAAATATTTTTTTATTATTTCGGGTCGGGTTGCGTTTCTAATTCATATATTCGGGTCGGGTCGGGTCGGGTGAAACTTTATTTTGGTCGGGTCGGATCGGGTTTTTTTAAGTGTTATATTCGGGTCGGGTCCGGTTTAGGGTGAAAAAAACCGGACCGACCCGAAAATATATATAATTCGGGTCGGATTAAGTCATTGTTTTTATTAAATAAAAATATTTTTTTATTATTTCGGGTCGGGTCGGGTCGGATTTCTAATTCATATATTCGGGTCAGGTCGGATGAAACTTTATTTTGTTCCGGTCGGGTCGGGTTTTTTAAGTGTGATATTCGGGTCGAGTCAGGTCGGGTTCGGGTTTAGGGTGAAAAAAACCGGACGACCCGAAAAAAATATATAATTTTACCTTATATATTTAGGAATAATTACAATAATACCCCTCTATATATAATTTTTTTCAATTAAGTCAATGTTTTTATTGAATAAAAATAATTTTTTATTATTTTGAGTCGTGTCGGGTCGAGTTTCTAATTCATATATTGAATAAAAATAGTTTTTGGTATATTTTTTGGTAACTAATTAACATACTCCGATTGGAATGTATCGAAATATTACTCTATCTTTTGGTAACTTATTAACATATTTTGATTGCGATGATTTTAACTTATAATGTTTATTAGCATGATTTTTATAATTTATTGAAATGAATAATCAATTAATAAAATAAAAATTTAATATTTTTATTTTTTTTATAATATATTACTATATGTAAGTTGTAAAATAAACTAAAATAAAGCAAAAAACAAGAAGAGCAATTCTGTCATTTTACATTACTGAAATCAAATTTATCTGACATGTCTGCGAACCAAACAGAATATGAAATTGGATTCCAATTCCTACAGATTCCAATTCCTTCACAGATTCCAATTCCCTCATAAACATTTCAACGAACCAAACGCCACTTTATTCTTTTTCTGATAATGGCTAATCATTGTACTGTTAAGAAAAGTAATTGATTAATTGATAAAATATTGCTTTTATTTATAAAAAGTAATATTGTCACTTAGTGAATAGACTTATTAATAATAAGTCATGTCACTTGATGAATAGATTTATTTTTTGGTTCAAAATTGCATCTATTCAATCATATTTTCAATGATTCTCTTCATCAAATGGTCTTAATCTTTCATTTCATCCCCTCTCCACTATATATAGGTTAGTTGAGACACAATTTAGACACTAACTTAGGAAAAGACTTAAAGAAGTTCCTTCCAAAATTCGTTATTTCTAGTGATAAAGAAATGTTATATTGTGTTCAAATGGACACCACTATTGTGTTATTTTTGTGATCATTTTTATTGTATCATGGGAGACTCACATCCAATGCTCTACTTAAAGCACTAAGGATAAGAAGACAATATCTTAAGAAAACTGTTAATACATGCCTCAAAAATAATTCTTCTTATATTTATTCAACTATGCTTATTCGATTCCTTGTCTACATTACGAGTAAACAATTGCGTTCCTCTATTTTAATTTGTATTTATTTTGATTCGCTCAATTTAATAAAATATCCACTTATTTTATTTTTATTTTATTTTGAGATTAACATTTTGTCTAATTGATATTACGACATAATTGATATCTTTTATTTTAATTCGAGATAAACGAATAAACTCTTATTTTTGAGTTTAAATCGAAGTAGTTTTCCAATACAAACAAATGGATGAGATTTCACTTCTTATCGATTTTGTTGTTCAAATTGACAAGTCACTTATACTAGCTATATGATGTGATCATGTCGATCACCAAATTCAAACCGATCAAGCTCACAACTTTGAAGTTCTTTCAAATTCAATCTGAGGAAGTTCTTTCTTATGTCATTGCTTATTTGCTTGTTTATGCATTACATATAACGTGAATATTCTTTAGACTATGCTTGAGTATTATATGCTATCATTTATTGCATAACATATGATATTCATGCATAATTTATTAAATCATATCTTTACTTAGCTCAATGCATGCATATGTTATGTTACACATTCCTTACTTATTTTATCATATCATTTGCATTATTATATTAAGCATGAAATCATGTGTTACATTATAATGTTACTTATTTTATTAAATGTTACATATTCAAGAACTTGTGCATATGTGACTTGTATAAATATGTGATCTGTATAAGGTACAATTCAAGGTAAGCCAAGGGACAGTTCACGTCAATCAGATTGATTGCCAATTTTCAACAGGTTCTAAGCATCTTTGGGTTACTAAGTCTATTTACATTTAATCCCCTATCTCTTAGCTTTCCAACGCACTTTGAGTCACATCAATCCGACATCGGGAGCTTGAAACATACCCAGATTACCAAAGACTGCATGCTGGAAATTTATACTGGATTTACAATCATTCATCACCTTCCTTGAATTTATGAATGAATGACATTGATGAAGAGATGCATGGACCAGAAGTGGCTATTC